CCAAAGGGCACTGGTGGGGCCACCAAGGCTTGCGGGGGAGGAGCAGCTGCCCGGGCCTCCTCCCAGCCAGGGACAGAGCCAGAAATAAATAAGCCGTGCCCGCAGATAACCCTGGTGCTGGAGCAGGGGACACGGGCCTGGCGCTGCCACCCGCTGCTTGTCCACAGGGGCCCGGAAGTGCTGGCCCAGCTCAGTGACCACGGCACCGGGACACCCATCACGGCACCCACCTCTCGGGCACGGGGCTGGGAAGGGTGGGGAAGGAGGCAGAGGAGCTGCTGGGGCAGTGATGCCCTTCTGTGCTGCCAGGAACCACCTGCTGCCCCCAGACCCTCCCAGGGCCCCCCAGGATCCCCCAGGACCCCAGGACCCCCCAGGGCCCCCCAGCTCCTACATGGCAGCTCCAGGGCCAGTGGGGGAAGCTGCAGGTTTTGTTCCTTTTTATTATACCAGAAAGAGCTTCAACACAATCCAGACAAATTAGAAGGAAAAGTTCCAGTGGCAACGACAAATAAATTAAAGTTGTCTTTGTATTCACTTAAATAAAAGAGCTGAACACATTAAATAAATTCACATTAAATAAATTCACAGGCAATAAGAGAACGAGGAGATGTCTCTGCTCGGGGGAGCAGGACCTTGCAGAGGTGATGCCTGGAGGGAGCAGGACAAGGTTCATCCACTGCTTGCCTGGTCCCTTTGGGGATTCACGATGTCCTGGACCCACCTGTCAGCAGGGTTGCCACAGACCAGCTTGCCTGCCACTGTGGTGAATCTGCAGAAGAAAACGTTGGAGAAGTGAGGAGAGGAGAGGAGAGGAGAGGAGAGGAGAGGAGAGGAGAGGAGAGGAGAGGAGAATCACTTCTCCTTGCCACTGATGAACCCCACCAAGCCAGACACCTCCATAGCCGCAGAACAGAACTGCCCCAGGAAAACAGGGGATGGGAGGTTGGTCATTACAGATCTGCTCTGCCACTTTGTCCCCAGCACACCTACTCCAGCTGAGACACCATCCCGCCTAGATCCCACTACCTGGGGATGAGGGAGGCAACCAGCACTAGTGCTTTTGGCTCAAATCTTATGCAGATGTCCTGAAACTGGCTGCCTGGGAAGTGGGATGTGCCTCTGAGATCTTTCCAGGCTGTTCTCCTAACCTGGGAGAGCCCAGCCTTGCCAGAATGGGGTGTGATGTGGGGTTTTTCTGGTGCTGCCACCCTTCAGTGGAGCAGGGCCCCCCAGGATTTGGGCAGGAGATGTACTCACATCACCGCTGGCTGGAAGCAGTGGCTGCCCGTGTGCTGGTACATCACCACACGACTCACAGGAAATGCTGTGGAGCTGTACGTGACACAGCAGGGGCCTGAGAAGTTGACAGAACCTGGAAGAGAAGTGGAGTTTTTATATTAAACCAGACCAGAAAAAGTGTTTGTGGGGAGAAGCAGGGTCAGAAGACTCTGCAGAAGGTCCCCACTTGAGGAGGTGCTGCTCCCACCATGGGCTCCTGCCACAGCCACCTTTCCCTCAGGAAGCCAAGGAGTAGCAAGATGTGCCTCTCCTTTCCTGCAGCAGATGCTCAGAAGGAAGAGCTGCCAAGCATTACTAAGGAGAAAGAGAGAGAAGAAGAGAGCTTGGACTCACTTGGAGAAGAGGAGACCTGGTAGCAAAGGACAGCCACAAAGAGTACAGCAAGAGCAGCCATGGAGGTCTTCATGATCCTGTTGGGTGGAGATAAGTTGTGGGAGTCAAGCTGGGCTGCTGCAGAGTTCCCTGTGTTGGACCTGAGGTGGGACCCCACTTTATGGAGGGAGACGGGCAGTGAGGACAGAAACGTACCGGAAACATTGCAACACAACATGACATGGTGGGGAAAGTGCTGGGTCAAGGGTGCTCACAGCCCGGTGCAGGGAGCATCTGGAGCCCTGGTGACAGTGGTGACATCATGTGGCATAACATATTTTGATACAATACCATGAAATGATGAAGAACAGGATGTGACTCTTCTTGGCCTTTCCCCTAATCAAAGGACTCTGTAGAGAACCTAGAAGTAATGACTCAAGATTAGGAGATGGACCTGTTGTCCAGAAGTCACATGATGGCAACAGATGGAGGATGAACATGGTTGCCATGCACACGTTTTCTGGAATATCTGCATCATGGACAAACCAGGGACAATTTGGTTCTCCCACAGAGCAGGGAGAGCCCGTGGGGTGGACAGGCCTCCCCACTGCCCACCAGTGGGTCTGCGAGGCACACGGGAGCCATGCCCTGCCAAGGAGATGGGGGCCTTCTCCAGGGCACCCAGGAGGCCAGCAGCACTCAAGTGTGCAGGGCAGAGGGTAGAGCATGGTATCATCCTAGGCCTGGGCTCCTCCACTGTCCTTGACCATCACTTGCACCAGGGCTGAGTAGATGGGGATGAGAACCTCCCTTGACCTGCTCGACACACTCCTGATGCACCCCAAGATTCCATTGGCTTTCTTGGCCACAAGGCACATTGTTGTCACATGGATAACTTGTTGTCCTCCAGGACCCCTAGGTTCTACTCCACGGAGCTGCTCTCTAGCAGATCATCTCCTGGCCTGAACTGGTATCTCCAGCAGATCAAGGGAGGTTCTTCTTCCCCTCTGGGGAGTGATGTGTCCAGTTCTGGGCTCCTCAGTTCCAGACGGACAGGGATCTACTGGAGAGAGTCCAAGGGAGGCTACAGGGATGATGAAGGGGCTGGAACATCTGCCTGAGGAGGAAAGGCTGAGAGACCTGGGGCTGTTTGGTCTGGAGAGAAGACTGAAGGGGGATCTAATGAATGTCTATCAATACATGAGGGCAGCAAGAAGGCAGGACAAGCTCTTGTCACTTGTGCCCTGGGACAGGACGAGGAGCAATGGACTCAAACTGGAGCCCAGGAAGTTCCACCTCCACATGAGATGAGGAAGAACGTCTTTGCTGTGAGGGTGACAGAGCCCTGGGACAGGCTGCCCAGAGAAGCTGTGGAGTCTCCTTCTCTGGAGACTTTCCAGACCTGTCTGGATGCCTTTCTGAGTGACCTGCCTTAGTTGGTGTTTTTTGTGGGTTTTTTTTGTTTTGTTTTGTTGTGTTTTAGTTTTTTTGTTTGGTTTGGTTTTGGTTTGATTTTGGTTGGTTGATTGGCTTTTGTTGTTGGCTTTTTTTTGGTCCTGCTCTGGCAGGGGGGTCGGACTTGATGATCTTTGGAGGTCCCTTCCAGCCCCCAACATTCTGTGATTCTGTGAGTCATGAGGAAACTGGTTCCATGGTGACATGGCAGTTTCACAAATACCTGTGACAGTTAAAATTGCCCTATATTGTTCACGGACATGAGAATGTGTCACTGATGGTTACAAAGAGCTTTAGAAGCTCATGACCTTCATGGCCCAGCAGAGTTGGCTTAGATGAGTATTTGATTCCACCAGTATAGAACTGACACCCTC